CCACAACAAGACAATTGATATGGTATGGTTGGGAAGAGTTATGCATGCTGCTTTTCTTAATATTCTGCATTGCCCAACAATACTTAGAGCAAGAAGAGGGCATTCTTACAGCTGTTAAGTTCTCAAGCTGCTTGTTGTTGAAACCAGAATGTGGAATGATCCACCTAGCCCTAGAGGAATCAAGTAGAAGAAAATCTTATATTAAATAGTTTTTTGTATTGTAGTGAAATAGCATGCAGCTTGTTTCAAATATTATCCCTATATTATTTTCTTTTGAACAACTCCTCATATTTTTACTAAAATGGCAGATTTTGAGTATATATGTATTATTTTAACAAAAATAAAACCAATCTGAATTTCTGGTGTCAATTTTTAAAGAATATTCATTGCCTTGAAGGACAAAATGTTGGGGGTGCTTCATACCTACTGTTTTGTACAATAAGGAAGTATAAATCTAAAGCTCAAAACTCTACCAGCACTAGTAGAACACTAATTATGGAAGTAAATTGGCAGCACAGAACTCTCTTTGATTTTAAGACAGAGCTTCATAAATCTCTGAGAGATATTATACTCTATCTAGATTTGGGGGGGGGGGGCATTCATTTCTTTCCAATAGCAATTTTTTTTCCCCATAAATAATTATCTGACAATGAAGAGGATTGTTTGATATTCACTAAGAATAGGATACACTGTTGAAAACAAGGGGATAAAAGTGAAAAGAGCTGCAAACATGGCTGCTGAAATGCCTTTAAAAATCAGCTTAAGGGTTAGCCATTGCTTTGGAGGAGCTGCTTGCTCCTGGTCATCCTCAGTGAAGGCTGGAGGGTGTGTGCGCAAATGATTAAACGTGTTGTAATGTTGCAGTTCAAACTGTGCCTCTTTAACACTGTGATGTCTCAATGAACGTTTCATCCCAAAATCTCAGCTTGCTGCATGGGCCCTTATGCTTACCAAATGAATTTTTGAAATTTTTGAAACCTAAACATGTTTCTGTTACTTATCTTTCCAACTCCTTTCCTAATTTCCATCAAATTTTGTTTCAAAATGGGGCATAGTTCTGAGACAGCATTGGTTGTGCTTGTTGATGACCTTTGGTGGAATCATGGCAGGGTTAGTGCAACTGTCCTGGTTCTACTTGATGTCTTGGCACATTTCAATACTATTTGGGGTGCAGTATAATCAATATGCTGAAGATATCTCAGCCCCAGGCCAGCCAGGTGATGCTGTCCTTATGTATGGAGTTAGTATGATCTGGAGGAGGATGAACAGACTTAGCTCAGCCCTGACAAGACTGAGTAGTTGTGATGTTTGGACCAGCCAAATATCGAATAGTTCCATCTTGGTCCTGAATAGGACTGTACTTCCCTCTTCGGGACTGGTGTACAACTTGGAAGTCTTTTTAGCTTTAGCTCAAGCAGAAGGTGGCAGCTGTGGCCAAGAGGGCCTTTGTATAAATCTATCTGGAATACTAGTTGCACCCTCATTCATTCATTCATTCATTCATTCATTCATTCATTCATTCATTCATTCATTTATCATATTTATATAGGCCATATATCTAGACTGGGAGACCTTAATACAGATGCTTCTGATTAGATATTGCAATGCTCTCTACATGTTGGTGGGGTGGGTCTGTTTGGTTGGTTAGTTCCTTGATTAGGGTATTGTTTACTGCTTGATTGTTTGTCTGGTGTTAATCTTGGTGTTAATCTCTGCTTATGTGGATGATTATTGCCCGGGGGCTGAAGCAC